ATATTATGTAAACAAAAACTTTTATTTTGGATGCGCGATTAATCGTTTGACAGCACTAATATATATATACATATATATATATATATGTGTGTGTGTGTGTATAAATATATATATATATAACTCTGCCATCATCCTTGCTTAATTGTTCACATTACATTACATTACATTATGTATTCTACAGGTAATTGTGCAGCGCTGTTTGGCTGCCCGCAGTCTGACGCATGTAAAGGCCGGATGTATATTGTGTGGGTACCTCAAACTACTCCCTATGTTTCTCATGGTGTTTCCAGGCATGATCAGCAGAGTGCTTTACCCTGGTATGCATTTTAATATGAACATATTTAATATGACATGTCTTTATAATTACAATCTTGATCAAGGAATACCAATACCATTTTTTTTTTCTTAGATGAAGTAGGTTGTGTGGAGCCAAGAATCTGTACGAAAGTGTGCGGCACAGCAGTTGGCTGCTCCAACATTGCCTACCCCAAACTAGTGGTTTCCATAATGCCAACAGGTAATCAACATAATTTATTGTTCCAGTGTTTTTAACCTGATAGTATCCCCTACACAAAATTAATGTATGAGTTTAACTGAATTCACAAGCTGTTCTGTTTACACTTAACTGTCTTTCTATTTTCTTTCTCCGCTAATCAATTCCTAAACAGGTCTCAGAGGTTTAATGTTGGCAGTCATGTTGGCAGCTCTCATGAGCTCACTAGCCTCAATCTTCAACAGCAGTAGCACCTTGTTTACCATGGACATTTGGACTCGTATTCGGCCTCAAGCTAGAGATAAAGAGCTCATGATTATAGGAAGGTTTGTAACACACTGCCTGTGTAAGAGTGTTGAGGTATACTGTTTATCTTATAGTACAAATGGCATCAAACTGTTCCTGAATTTACCAATTCTTGTTCTAATTCCTCTAACGATACAATTAATGATTCTTTTGAGGATCTGTGAAAAAAACATTGTTCAGAAAATAATTAGAATTAGTTTACATCACTTGCGTCAAGCAACTTTCCTATTTTTGTTATCTCCACAGTACTCTCATCGTAACCCGTAACCTGTTTCCATTTTGGTGAATTGGTGGCAAATTTAATTGAGCAAAATCTGCTTACTGATGGTTGGTGGTTGGGTTTAGGGGCAGACCTTTGTGCTTGCTTTTTTCCTAGATATGTTTTCATACAAATCAAATGGTACAAACCCATATAAGAATTTGCCAGTTTTTACATGAGGTTGGGTTTGTTATCGCTCATAACCTCGGGCCAGTCGTTCAAAAGTAATTTGATCGGATTGGATCAAATCTTGAAAATGGGTTGTTCAAAAGAAAAAAAAAGAATTCTGAAATCAGATTAGATCACAAAATCCAATCTTGGTTTTGATCTGGATCAAATCGCCAGTTTGTGTTGTTCAAAACGTTTTAGTAAGGTTGGGTTGAAAAACCAAGTAAGAGTCCAAGTAAAATCAAGTAAAATGGATTACCTGATCCTGGTTACCAAAACATGGGATTTCCTAATCCAGATAATTCTGATCCAGATTAAGCTTTTTAAACAACTGGCCCCTCATTATATATATATATATATATATATATATATATATATATATATACACAATGCACTCATGAACACATGTATTAACTTGTGTGACAGGGTGTGGATACTCTGCATTGTCGCCATTAGCATTTGTTGGATCCCAGTTGTCCAGGCAGCCCAGAGCGGTCAGCTGTTTGATTATATTCAATCTGTGACTAGTTACTTAGCTCCACCTATTGCAGCAGTCTTCTTCCTTGCAATTTTTATGAAGAGGGTCAATGAGTCAGTAAGTAACTGCTTTAAACATATTTAGTCTTTGTTTAATGCCACATCAGAACACAAATTGACTAAAAGCTTGCATCTTCACTTTTCGCTCCTTAGGGGGCCTTCTGGGGTCTGATGGGAGGACTGGTTATGGGTCTGTGTCGTATGGTACCCGAGTTTTCATATGGCTCAGGAACCTGCCTTATTCCCTCCAACTGCCCAAAACTTATATGTGGAGTTCATTACCTTTACTTTGCAGTGCTGCTCTTCTTCTGCACTGCTATCCTGGTGCTTTTTGTAAGCTACAACACTCCACCCATAGAGGACAAACATGTAAGGTTTTAGCCACTGCTGAAGCTACTTTAAGAATACTTCTCTGTATTTATAACATTTACCTTTTCTCTTTACCAAGCTCCATCGACTTGTCTTTACCTTACGCCATTCTAAAGAAGAAAGGGTCGATCTGGACTGGGAAGAGGAGGAACGAGGAAGAAAAGCTCGACGAGAGGCAGATGAAAAGAAAAAGGTCGTAGCTGAGGAGGATCAAAGTAAGATTATTTATTTTAGAATTGTAGATAAAATGTATATTTGTATGTGTAAGTCAGGGGTGTCCAATCCCACTCCTGGAGGGCCACCATCATGCAGAGTTTAGCTCCAATACTAATTAAACACCTGAATCATCTAATCAAGGTCTTAAGGATTACTACAAACTTCCAGGCAAGTGTGTTGGGCAGGTTGGAGGTAAACTTTGCAGAATCTTTGGCCCTCCAGAAGCAGGATTGGACACCTCTGGTGTAGGTCAAACTAACTTCTATGCGTAATGATACATATTTAAATTCTTTGCTCTTTGACATAGTTGAACGTGGTGACCGATCCATAATGATGATGATTATTGGCTGGTTTTGTGGCATAAGTGATACTCAGGCTCCAGAGCCCACAGAGGAGGAAGTGACTGAAGCATCAAAACAATTACCTGACATAAGTGAAGACCCACTGTGGAAGAATTTGGTCAATGCTAATGCTCTAATAATGATGTCTGTGGCTGTTTATTTTTGGGGTTACTATGCATGAGGGCAAAAAACAATGATCATAGTATATAATTCAGTGTTTCCCAACCCTGGTCTTGGGATCAAGACTCTCCCTAATCAAACACATCTGTTTCGACTCATCAGTCTGGAACCCTCTGAAATGAGTGCGTCATATAAGAGAGACATCCAAAGTGTGTACTGTTGGGAGCACTACAGGGCTGGGAAACACGGATTTAAATTCATTGAATTCTTCACACAAGTTTAAATGAATCAATGAAAAGGTAATTAAATAATTTTAGACGTTTAATTAAAAGAATAATCATTTGGATTGCTATGTTGGATTTCACTTTTAAAGGAACGCTCTACTATTTTTGAAAATAGGCTCATTTTCCAACTCCCCTAGAGTTAAACAGTTGAGTTTTACCTTTTTCGAATCCATTCAGCCGATCCCCGGGTCTGGCGGTAGCACTTTTACCTGCAGCTTAGCATAGAACATTGAATCTGATTAGACCGTTAGCATCTCGCTCAAAAATGAATGACCAAAGAGTTTCGATATTTTTCTCTATTTAAAACCCTTCTGTAGTTAGGGTCTGGCGGTAGCACTTTTAGCTGTAGCTTAGCATAGATCATTGAATCTGATTAGACCGTTAGCATCTCGCTCAAAAATGACCAAAGAGTTTCGATATTTTTCCTATTTAAAACTTGACCCTTCTGTAGTTACATGGTGTACTAAGACATATGGAAAATGAAAAGTTGCTGCCGTTTTGCTGCCGTACCATGGGTGCCGCAGGCGCAATGATAATACACAGCGCCTGAAAATAGGCTAACTTCCGTCAACATAACCAACGTGACCACCTGCTTGCACAGGGAGCGTGCTGGGGACTATTTTCAGGCGCTGTGTAATATCATTGCACCTGCTGCACCCATAGTACGGCAGCAAAGTTCCTTGATTATTACGCCGGAATGAGAGTATAGTTCCTAGACATATCGGCCTAGAAAATCGCAACTTTTCATTTTCCGTAGGTCTTAGTACACGATGTAACTACAGAAGAGTCAAGTTTTAAATAGGAAAAATATCGAAACTCTGTTAATTTTTGAGCGAGATGCTAACGGTCTAATCAGATTCAATGATCTATGCTAAGCTGCAGCTAAAAGTGCTACCGCCAGACCCGGAGATCAGCTGAACGGATTCGAAAACGGTAAAACTCAATTGTTCAACTCTAGGGGAGTTGGAAAATGAGCCTATTTTCAAAAATAGTGGAGTGTTCCTTTAAGATGTTGTTGACACTGTCCAACAGACAAGATACCTCATGTTTAATGGAATAGTTTACCTAAAAATGAATATTTGGTAAAAAAAAACGTATTCACGCTCAGGCCTTCCAATTCACTGAAACAGATTTGGAGAATTTTAGCATTACATCAGTTGCTATCAATGGATTCTCTTGCAGTGAAAGGGTGCTGTAAGAATGAAAGTCCAAACAGCTGATAAAAATATCACAATAGTACACAAATGAACCACACAGATCTAGTCAATGAAAAGCTCTGTGTTTGTAAGAAACAAATCTTGATGGATTTTTACAAACATGCAGCTTTTACTTCACAAGACGTTAATTGATGGACTGAAGTCTTGTAGATGTTGCGATGTTTTTTATCAGATGTTTGGACTCCTATTCTGACAACATCCATTGGAGAGCCAAGTGACAAAGAAACAAACTCATCTACATGATGGATGGCCTAGGACTGAGTAAATGTTCATTTTTTGGGGTGAAATAATTTAAGTGTTACTAAAATAAAAGCATCTGTTAAAAGCTCTGATTTTTTTTTTTTTCAAATGAATAATTATAATGTAGTTTTTTAAAAATAAATTACTGTGTAGCCTACATATAAAAGGTGCACTATGGAAGATTTTAAGTAAAAATTAACAATGCCAATAACTAGTAGCACAACAAACAGAACTCCACAATTAACTTGCAATTTTAAATTTCAACCACAGATGGTGATAAAGGACAGAGTTCCACAGTACAACTCTTATTTATCTTATACACACCAACGAATGCGACAAACAAAAAAAATGTGACTGTTGTATTTGCAGTACTAATACACATGAACAGGAATAGCACAGACACCAGTTTTAAATAACTTTTATTCACTTTAGAGGCAAAGATTCCCAAAAGCAGATTGACGGTGAAACCTATAACGGTCTCCCAAACCAGAGGGATCAGCATCAATGTTTCTGTTTGTAAGATTTCACAGACTGGTGGAATGAGCAGAACGAAACAGGGTTAAGGCTAGAATCAGGTTTTGAGTTGTCCTGTTCTTTGTTATTTTTCTTTCAGCCACATGAAGCTAATTACTGCTTTGGCAAAAGCTGCCTTTGCCAACAAGCACACAGACAGCCTGGCAGGCAAAGAGATAGGTAAAAGAAAAGGTTTGGTCAAGAAATAAAGACGGAGAATTTGAAGGAGAGAAAATGAAGTCCAACAACAACAAAAAATATTATTCACTCACATTCACACACAAAACAGAAAAATCCAACGAGCAGTCAAACTGTTGATTACAAAGTGACATCAGGGATTTGTAAAGTGACATCATTTTGCGTGCTTTTGACCAAAGGGACAGCAAATTAAACTCGACAACAACCCCTGAAGTTATAATCACAAGTCCTGTGTCTAGCCTGCAGGGTTTTTTGCAAGGTTGGGGTCAGAATCAGAGCTGGTCTTCCAAGATTGCCATAAGAATTTCTAACCAATTCAGAAGTACATGTAAAGACTAGTCCCATGCAGCAGACTACCTTATTTAACCAGCATTGGCTCTCAAATTTCAGAACACTGGTCTGTGCATGAAGGGACTGAGAATTAACTCTGGTGCACTGATAAGAAATGATACTGACAATGATAGCAAGGTTAATAAGCTATGATAGAAGAGGCGAGCTCAACCATAAATAGTTCAGTGGCATGAGGTTTCAGTAGAGCGAAAACAGGAAGAGAAATGACAATCCCCTTACAATCTCCTTTACCTCCCATCGTCTCTTTTGGCGCGGGCCTGAACCAGCTCGCATGGCTGTACCCAGTTATTATCGTGTAGCCCAACTCGACAGCCAGGTGTGTCCTTATCGGTGCGCCGACAACACATCCAGTAGGAGCGTCCATAAGGCAAGTCGTGGTGGTAAGGTTTAGGGTGCCAGCGGCAGAGCGACACATCTCCCCGCTCATACTGCCGCTTGCACTGCTTGCAGGGGTCGTCACGGTACAGCGGGTCCTGGTTCCAGCGAGAGTCTGTAGCACGCACGCCGTAGGTCTCGATCAGGGTCTTGAAGTCATGGCAGGTGCATTTGAGGGCCGCTAGCGATCGGGTGGGCAGGTAGCTGAAGATATTGACCATGATGTGGTCTGGAAGCAAGAGCATGTATTGCCGTGGTTCCAGAAGCCGCTGGATCTGAAAGCGAATCTCAAGGAAGTCATGGGAGACATGACGGTAGAGACGGCACAACGAAGGATCAGAACAATCATCCACAGTTGCCAGTGGGGAATCTGGCCTCTCTACGGTAGCCCCCACTGGCCCATTGTTGTTTGCACAGTCTAAAGACCGTATCCCACTGTTTACCGCTGAGCAACTCTCATCTTCAGTAGCTGGTGACTGCAGAAAGAACAGCTGGCCAGGAGGCGGGTCCTCTGAGGCATCAGTTGAATTAGCCCCATTGGGCATAGCAAAACAAACAGTCTCTTCTTGAACATTCTCTGTGCTGTCCTTCCCATAGAAGACACATTGGTCTACTGCACCTGTGACCACAACCTCAACGTGGAAGCCAGTCACCCGCTCTCGAGCAACAGCTGCCTTCTCTCCTGAGGCAGGGTCTTGGTTAGGATCTGGCGTTGTGGAGGAAGGCCTGTCAGTGATGCCTTCTCCGAGGGGATCAGCCTTTGGTGAGCCAGCCAGGAGGGCACCTGGATCTCGAGATGATGGACTGACCAACTGGTAGAGGTCACAAGTGATCTTTTCTTTGCTCCTGGTTCCTGCCTGCCCCCCTCCAACTCCGCAACTCATAAACATGCATTTGGGCCGGCCAACAGTCTCAGACTGGGTGCGAGGGTCCAGACTTGACACCCGGAAAGCAATCCGTACTTCCCCTCGTCCATGACTTGTAGTGCCACCCACAGAATCACCTGTGTGAATGTGATCTCTTCCATTCAGCTCAGGCCGCAAAGTTGTACTGTCGAGATTCTGCTGCCGAGATTCAAACTGTGCAACAGCCTGAGCAACCCGTCGGGATTCCTGCTGTTGTTGCAGCAGATCAAAGTCACTTTGAGAAGCTGGTGCAGATGAAGGGGGCTCTGAAAGGATTACAACAGGTTTCTGATGGACTGTATAAGGACTAGTTTGTCCTTGCGCTACCATCCCTTGAAGCGCCAAGGCTGTACGCTGTTCTACAAGAGCCACCATTTCGGCCACAGAGAGCAAATCTGTCTCACTCACTCCAACACCATCCTCAGTCGAGCTGGATTCTGTGGGTACATCAACAACAACATTTTGAGCTCTAGTGGGAGGGTCATAAGAGGAACAGCGCCGCCGGCGCTTGGCCTGGGTACAATCAGTAGCCCAGTTTCCCTTGACTTTCATGGCACTAGGCCTGGGTATTCCAGCACCATTACACTGGTGAGCTACAAAGAAGGCTATTTTCTCCTTGGTGTTGCCTGGTTTGATGACATACCAGGTATCAAGCAGTACCCTGCCATCCTCCATCTGTGAATTCGGAGAGGGTGAAGCAGGTAGTGGTGGAGCCAGAAGGGTAGATGAAGCATCTGGTGGAGTGTTTTCAGTGCCAACATCCTCATCCTGCTCCTCACTGACTCCATGGGTCTCTATGGTTGTAAGCCCTGAATCATCAGCCTTGCAGTGGGTAGTAGTTGTTCCGTTGCAAATTGTACCATTGCTGTATGGCTTATTCTGGGAGTAGGTGCCAAAGGGGCGTGGGCACCACAGCCGGATGTGGGAAAAGGTGTCACGGTTCATTGTGAGTCCATGGGGAGCATACCTGCCTCTATGCTGGGCAGCTACACTGCAATTCACCACTCATTCTCACTTTTCAGGTCTGCAGGCTC